TGCAGAAAAAGACCCCCCCCCCGCCAATGTAGCAGAGCTACATTTGAAATAAATTGGGCAGTACACATTCACCCTCTAAAGACCCCTCCCCACACTCCCCAGTAAGACCATTAGAAGCAGCACTGAAAATGGTTTGTGTCATGAGCTAGGCATCCCCTCCCGAACCAGACAGGCACTTCACCGATTACTAAAAGATTCTTTATTCCATACAACAACAGTGTAACCACAACCTTGAAACACACACTCCAGGTGGAAAGTTGACTCCTCGCTTTGCCCCTATTTCCCCCAGCTTTGTTTATGCACCCTTTGGGGGTGGTCTCTGGAGGGGGGCACACTCTGGAAGCGGGCATGACACTCTTCCCATTGAGCCCCTCCTCGGTCCAGTCGGTGGGTGTGTAGAGGGGCCTGCACGTCATCTCCTGGGGTGTCAAGCTCTCCCGAGAACCCCTCCCCAGCCTGTTCTCCGCCGGCTCCTTTCCCACCATCAGGAGTGGAAGGGGGCTCAGCTGCTGGCCACGAAGTGCTTTGATCCAGAGCTGGCTCGGGTCGGCTCGGCTCACCGGGAGAAGTTGAGCACCTGGGTCTCACTACTCTCAACAACTCCCATTTCAGAGTGAGACCTCTGAGCCACGGCTGGGTCAGCGGTCCTCTCTCACTCCTCCGAGTCTGAGCCGCCATTCCCACCAAAGCCTGCCTGTCTTTGTGTGTCTGCGTCTGTGCACACGTGCACAGGGTCTTCGGGGTTCTGCTTTCCCCCAGGTTTTTAGAGGTAAATGTTTCTCTCATAGACCCACTTAACTGGGAACAAAATGCATGGAACCCCCCGAGCCTCAATTTTGAGCAGGCATGTCCAGGAGTGCTCTGGAAATCTCTTTGTGAGGGCAATGTGGGCAGAAGGCACAGACCGCAGCTCGGTGGTAGAACACCTGTTTTTCGTGCAGAAGGTCCTGATCCTTGGCATCTCAGACAGGGTTCGGAAAATTCCTGGCTGGAAGCCCAGAGAGTCCCTGCTGCCAATCGGTGCTGACAAAGGTAGCCTAGGTGGACCGAGGGTCTGGCATGTTAGCAGGCAGATCCCTGTGTTCCTCGCTCTTGATTCATTGGCTGTAGATTGCAAAGGCTTTCCAAGTCCCAGTCATTTAAGCATAGCAGTAACAGCAAGACAACCTTTGCCTCCTGAATTAGGAATGAAGGAAGGTTAGGATAATCCCAGATGGATGTTTGTGTGAAAAGGCTGTGAACTCAGTTCAGTTCTGTTCCTGAAAATGAATTCTGCAGCTCAGATTGGGCTCAAAGGCCCTTGAAACTTTGAGTCTATGCATTTTGCACCTGTCTTTGGTTGGAGGTTATGGAGGTCCAGCTAAAGTGACCACCAGAACGGCATTTATAACACAGAGGTGGCAAGACTGAAGTCTGCCCACCTCTGCCCTAGCACGTGGTCTCCAACATTTTTGGGTTGGTTGGGCACATCTGAAATTCTGAACAAGTGATGTAGATACTTGAGCAAAATGGCTGCTGTGGGAGGAGCTTGCACTTCCATAAAATGGCTGCCATGGTGGGCATAGCTGAGCACAGAACACGCATTGCTGGGAAAGCAAACTGGAGGGACTGAAGAACCTCAAGTATGTAGCTTGCAAATTTATCCAGGCTTAACTTGAGTTTTGTTTTTAGTAATGCTTCACAAGTGCAAAACCTGTTAAGTGAGCATTTAAATATGAATGGAAGTAATTTATCTCTCTTTGGAGCTCCCAAATCCAGGTTGATGTATGGATGAGAGAAGTTTAGAAGCACCCTTACTGATCAGATAGATGGTTTCTATAAGCAGAAAGCCCCTCAGAGATCAACTCTGCACCCCCAAAGCTCTTGCTGGGAGGTGGTAGAAAGATGTAGAGGGAGCAAGCTGTGGACCATGGACTCTGCCTTGAAACCTTGAATCTAGCTCACTACCTTGAAATGTGGTGGAAAATGCATTCTTGTTGCTGGTATTGAAAGAAAGTTCAGCTTACGGATGCAGTTGGCTTTGTACATGGAATAGAAAGAGATGCTTTCTTTTCCTTTGACTTGGAAAGGGCTTGGAAAGCTTCACAAGTCACATGGGAAGACAAGTGGGAGGGGTCCAAATATTTTTCTGTGCCCTCATTGTCTACTGGAGATATCACCTGCCTTTTTCCCATACTTAAAGAGAAGAGACTGCCTCAGAAACGCTAGCAGGGACTTTCGAGGGACTTTCTGAGCAGGGCCAGCTTTTTCCATCCCCTCCGCTCTCCTCAGTATGGAGCTTTTAAGGCTGTCAACAGTAGCATTTTACATCCCCTCTTCCTGTGAGCTCCCCTGGTAGTTGCTTTCCCTTTTCTCCACTTTTGAGGTAATCTCCCTGGAACTCAAGTGTCTGAACATTATAGTGTGATATTTATATACTCCGGGTATTTTTTGCAGCATGTGGCTGTGTGGTCCCTTCTTGAGTATCAGAGGGGATAGCTTCTGTTTGGTAGACTTTTCATTAAAATGAACTCAGATGTATTTCCCCCACTTTTTCAAGTGCGATGGAAAAGAGAAAGCTGGTGTGCAGGTTCCTAGGAGTCTAAATGGGGCTGCAGGAGGGAGGGGTGAGCTTGCAAAATCTCTCCCATCCCCTGCTATAGCTATGACACTTTACTTTTTGATCTGCCATAAAATGGGCTTCAGCTCCTTATCCACCAGTGGGCATCCTTCCCTGGCAAATCTGCATGCCTCCTGAAGCAAAAACGTCACACGTCACACCTTAGCAGTGTGGGCAAAATAAGTTGCACTGGAGAGATAGGTAGTTTTTGATTTGTTTAGTTGCAAAGTCATGCTCGACCCATCACAACCGCATGGACAACATTCCTCCACCATCCCCCAGAGTCCACCCAAGCCCACACCCTCCGCCCCAGTAACTCCAGCCAGCCACTCCACCCTCTGCCGTCCCCTTCTCCTTTTGCCGTCAATCATTCCTAGCATCAGGGTCTTCTCCAGTGAGTCCTTCCTTCTCATTAGGTGGCCAAAGTATTTGAGTTTCATCTTCAGGATCTGGCCTTCAAAAGAGCAGTCAGGGTTGACATTAAAGTCCAGTCATGCATGACTCCAGGGGGCGGTGCTCATCTCCATTTCCTAGCCAAGGGAGCCAGCGCTTGTCCACAGACAGTCTCCGTGGTCGTGTGGGTGGCATGACTAAACACCGTGGTGCACGGAACGCTGTTACCTGCCCACCGAAGTGGTACCTTTTCATCTACTTGCATTTGAAGGCTTTCAAACTGCAAGGCTGGCAGGAGCTGGGACAGAGTACTGGAGCTCAGCCCTTTGTGCAGATTCGAACTGGCGACCTTTCGATCAGCCAGCCCAGCAGCACCGCGGTTTCAACCACTGTGCCACCTGCAGTTGACTCCCTCTGGCCACACTAAAACAGCTTCTGGATTTTTCTTACAGTCAACATGGCTGCTGCCATTTTATAAATAAATCAATATATGTGAGAAATAGCTCTGTCTTTACTAAGAGCAGTCAGCTTGGCTCAGGAGAAAGACAGACCCTCCACACACACACACACACACACACACACACACACACACAGTCTCTCTCTCTCTCTCTCTCTCTCTCTCTCTCTCTCTCTCTCTCTCTCTCTCTCTCACTCTCTCTCTCTCTAAATCACATCATTTGACTAATGAAGAGCATGTCTGAAAAATGACCCAAGTGAGGCTGTAACACCCTCGGGGATGGAGAGATGCATCTGCCCTGCAGGGAAGGTCAAGCAGCACTTTGGTTCCCTGCCCCTAACCCCATCCAAGCTCTAATTGCCTGCCAAACAGATTTAATAGGAAACGCACGTACATATGGCAGGGATGCGTTGAGGCAAAGCAGCTCACACCACCGTGCTCAGAAGATGAATGATGCGGCTGACACGGGGATGTCTCTCACAAGCTGTCCCCTCGTATATTGAGCCCCGACCTAAGCCAAGCGGGAGCGCCAAGGAGGCAGATGGAAGCTTGGCATCATGATGAAAGCCCCCGCTATCTGTTCTAATGAATTGCCCACCCTGCAGATTAAATATTGCAATAGTCAGTCCCATTTCCACACCATTGGTAATCTTAGCCTTATTTACTGCACACGCGAGAAGCTGCGTCTTCTCCTCTAGCATTTGGCATGTCAGCTCGGGCAGAAATATAAGACAGTGAAGAGGGAGGTGGCTTTAAACGGATCGGAAGCAGCTGGAAGGAAAACTGTGGGATGCCTGCTCCCGCGACACCAAATCGGTCCAGTTCCTCGCAACAGCAGGGACACCCAGAAACACATAGAAGCATAGAAACAGAGCGAGTCAGAAGGGGCCTCCCGGGCCATCTAGTCTGACCTCCGGCTCCAGCCAGCTCCGCTCACGACATGCCCACCATGTGCATGTCCAGCCTGTCTTTGAACACCCGCACCGATGGGGCCTCAACCACCTCTCGTGGAAGCCCATTCCACATGAGGAAAGCTCAGGCAGGAGTGTAGCATGTAGAAAGGTGTGCATGAACGTGTTGGTGTGTGTGTGTGTGGGGGGGCTTTTTAGAGTAAAAGAAATGGGCAACCATGGCTCACCTCGTGAGCGGAGCCAGCTGGAGCCGGGGGTCAGACTAGATGGCCCGGGAGGCTCCTTCTGACTCGCTCCGTTTCTATGTTTCTTCTCTCCCCTCCTTCCAACTTGGAAAGTGTGTTTCTCCCACCCAAACTTACTTCTAGTATTTAGGAGAAAAGTGCTAGAGTGAGACAATGGGGGTAGGGTTGCAAGTCATGCATGGGGGCGTAATTTAGCTGTCCCCCCCCCATTTTGTTCTAAAAACCAGGATTGCTCTTTCGTATGTGACTGGGGCAGGCAGACCAAGGTTTATTCCAGTTTTTTTAAACTAAAGTTCATTCATGGGCTTTTGTCATGTGTGTAGAAGGTTCCAGGTAGGGGTTCCATCAAGCTCCCTTGTATCCCACATTCCAGGTGCTATGTCTTTCATTTCTAGGTGAGCAGGCGATATGAAGCCCCATGTCTGAAACTCTGGAAAGCTTGTTCCTGTCAGAGGAGAAAAGCTTGTGTGAAACAGTTTGGTCCAGTCTAAGGTAGTCTCCTGTATTTGATTTTTTAAAATTAAAGCCCATGGGTTGTCCAGGCTGTTGGCCAACCAATGGAAATGACCATGATGGAATTACGTTTTCTTCAGTTCTGAACCTTTGGATACCTTATAGGAATCACTCTTCTGACTAATCTACTACCTGACACCCTACCTAATGGGCATTGACATTCCTGAATCTTGGGCAAAAGTCTTTCTCGGTCCTGTTGTCTAAGATGTGTTCCCAGCAGAAAGATCAGAAGAGCTGTGTGATGCCCACCTGTCCCACCATCAGGTGGGGCTGAGTTGAATGTAAATGTGGAAATGTAGAAGCCTTGGATAAGAGTTAGGGTGCCTAGGTGTTCTCCTTGACAGAGAACAGAGCTTTGCTTGACGAGCCCTCAGGGGCCAGATCTCCATGTGAAGGCTACCCAGTTGAGATCTGCTGTAAAATCAGAGGATACTGAAGAGGGGAAGCTGTGGCCTTTGGTTTGCTCACCAGCATTTAGCACCTGGATAAAAAACTCTGGATAGGCCAGGCAGTGAGTTGCCCTCACTCCAGAAAGGATGTAAGAAACTAGAAAAGATCATCAAGTGTAAGGAAATTCCTCTGGAGACCAAGGCCAAGTTCATTCACGCTATTGCAAACCCAATAGATGGGTGGGAATGGTGGACAGTGAGAAAGCTGACAGGAAATAAATACAAGCATCCAAAACATGGTGCTGGGGGAGAACTTGGCAAATACCCTGAAACAACAGAAAATCAACTGAATGGGTCCTGGATCAAACCAAGCCCGAGCTTCCCCTAGAAGCACAAATGGCAAAATTGAGGCTGTCGCACTTTGGACACATCATGAGAAGACAAGACTCCCTGGAAGACCATCAAGACCCTAAACGGCTTGGGACCTGGATACCTAAAGGAACACCTTCGTCCCTATTTGCCCTCCTGCCCCCTGAGATTGGCAGCAGAAGCCCTCCTATGGGAACCCTCGTGAAAGATATTAGGAGGGTGAGTACCTGGAGGAGGGCCTTCTCTGCGGTGGTGCCCTGACTATGGAATGCGCTCCCCAGAGAGGTCCGCCTGGCGCCGTCGTTATTTGTTTTTCGGCACCAGGTTAAGGCCTTTTTATTTCATCAATATTTTAATAAGTTTTAATATGGTATTTTTAATATTATATTTTTAACTGCAGCCAGAGTGGGTCGATTTGTTTATGTTGTTGATACTTCGTTATAATTTATTTATATTGATATTTGTATTTTATTTCTGTAAGCCATCCTGAGGCTTTTGCAATAGGACAGCATATAAATACCACAAATAAAAAATAAATAAATAAATCATACTGGGGAAACTCGAAGGCAGAAATAAAAGACAACCAAAATAAAAGATGGATGAACCCCATAAAGGAAGCCAGAACCTTGAATTTAGAAGAGTTGAGTGGGGCTGTTGTAGACAGAACATTTTGGAGGGCTTCCATTAATAGGGTCTCCATAGTTTGGGAATGACCTGATGACACATAACAAGAGCAATGCGATGAAGTACATCCGCTGACTTCCAATCCCAATTCAAAGTCTTGGTGTTTAAAGTCTGGAATTAATTAGGACTGGAGTACCTAAAGGAACAGCTTATGTGTTTTGCATTATATTGCATTTTGTTCTTTTAAATATTTCTAGTGTATTTTTGTTTTATTTTTAACTCTTGAGCAATTAGTTCTTTACTTTCTTGTAGTTCACCCAGAGAACTTAATTGGACAAGATGAAAAATTTCATATATGAAAAAAACAATAGCAATGATTTCTAAACTTCTGCACCTATATACATATTCAAATCTATGTATGCAAGCATTATATGCGCTCCTATCATGTCTTCTCTCCTGTTTTGTTATATATTTATTCTTCCTTTGGTGATGGAAAAATAGCCATCCTAGTAAGACGTATACGGCAGCTGTTCTCAAACTGGTGACCTCTAGAAGTTTTGGACTTCAATACCCATCAGCTTCAAATATCATTACTCCTTGGGGATGCTGGGAATTGCAGCTCAGGGTTTTAGGAGGTCAACAGGCTGTGGTGGACCACTTGGTAGACCCGTCCTCTGTCTGATTCTGGGAACCCATCACAAGAGCTTTCAGAGCAGGTATCCTTCCATCCCTTGCTTGGAGACTGCCACTGAAGTTCATGAACTTCTCCTGCATCTCCACCGGTGATCTCCTACCTTGCCAGCTCAATGCCTAGAGGAAGTGCATGCCAGGTTCCCAATTCATTATGGTTCTTTGAACCCAGGCCACCGATGCCAAAGTCTCCTCTCCAGTGGGCCAAATTAACAACCTCACAAAATAGCATCACCCAGACCCTCTCCATCTGGGCTGCCCCCCTCGGTCTCCAGAGTGAATTTCGATATTGTGGCGATTTAAATTCAGCCGCCCCAGGGTTCTGAACTTTTGTCCGTCTGGGTAATAATATCCCATTGCTAAAATGTAATTTATGTGTGCATCATTTGCATTATTGAACAGCTGTTACCCTCTCCTAACTGCTTGCCTGCCATATTGCCTGGATAATAATATCTAATCCATATTAATTATAAATACACAAATTGTCTCCAAAATAAGGCATGGATGGTGAGCCACGCAAACCAGAGAGTGCCAGGAAATGTTAAAATTAAGCCTGACAATTAAGCTTCCTGCTGGTGTGTCATGAATAGAAAGAAAGAAAGAAGGGAGGGAGGAAAGAAAAAAAGACGCGTGGGGAGGGGAATTTGAGCGAGGCAAGCCAAGGAGGGCAATGGAGAGCTAATCGCTTGCAGCTACTGTCATTACCCCTCAGGCTAAAATTTCAGTGTGTCTCTCTCACGCTACGTGGGGCAGGACTTGCTGTGAGATAGACGTTCCCTTGGAGAGAAGGGATTCAGTCCAGACCGGGGAGGGCAGTCTTCTTCTGGGCTGGTACATGACCTCCCAGCGCACTTGGGGCAGTATGGCTCAGGGCCGTGTTCCTCACTTCTCCAATTCTCTTCCCGCCATCCTGATGTTCTGGGACAGGTAAAATGAAGAGGGAAAGGATGGACTATTTAGGTAACAGTGAGTGCTGAAGAAACATGTCCCCTCACCCACATCTTTCTACGGTATTGACACAAATAGTCCTTGATGTTCAACAGGCAAAAATAGGAATGCAGAATATTAGTGGAAACACTGCACCAACACCGAAGATCCCTCCCACACATCCCTGGGACCTGTCATCTCTTTGCTGCGTGCTGTATTAAAACGTGCCTTTTGCTTAGCCTCTTCCGTGCCCTGGCACGCCAATATTTCCTAATATTTTCATCTCCGTCTCCTCCTCCTCCTCCTCCTCCTCTTCTGTCTCTTGACCACTCCTCTATTTCCAATATTCGAGGAATGAGTGCCAACTCTTATTTAGACAAGACACCCTCCAGGATTGTTAGCAGGGTCAGGAGAACACCGAGGCTTGCAAGAAGTTTTTAGTGGGTGGGGAGGGTCTGTGGAAGGGGAACGCTCAGCATGGGCCAGTGGGGGGCACTCATGCGCAGTGATTGTGGAATGCTGAGTGAATATCAGGGGGAGTTGGGGGAGGATCAGAAAATCAGAGGGGCTTGGGGAGGGATGATTGTGGAATTCTGCACAGGAGGGTATGAGGATGCAGTTTCCGGTCGTTATTTATATATGCCAGGTTCTCCCTTCACACCTATTTGTCCACAGGGAATCTGAACATGAGCATGATTTGTGAGATTATGTTTCGGAGCTGCAACGCAAAGCTATGCAGTAAATTGTACTGCCTGCATAGATGAGAGTGTGTGCTGAGGTGGGGGCATAAGCAAGGGCAGAAGGGAAATTTGCGCACCGGCACACCTGCAAATTGCGTTATAACAAGATTTTCCTGCCGGAAGCGGTGCACTGATTTCTTAGAAACAAGAATCAGGTTTGCTTATTTTGGGGGTGAACCGGAACACTGGCTCATATCTATTTCCGAAAGAGAAATGACCTATTTGGCATCTGCACTTCCATCCTGAACATATTTTCATTTAAGTAAGTCACACTGATGTTGATGAAGTTAGCTCTCAAGTGAGCACATGCAGGGCCTGGGCTGTATTCTGGTCTCTGGTTTATGATCTGATGAGCCCTTGTGTCTGTAAAGTGCATTTCATACACTCAGTCAGAGCCATCCAGGAACAGGGAAGGAATGGCGCCTGATGGTGTGCTCCTTTTTGGAAAGACGCTTGCCCACTTCCACACAAGGAGAGAAAGAGATTGTCCCCCGAAAAATGTATTTAATGTGTGTGTGTGTTTCTCGCAATAGGTCTGATTTTGTCTGAGTCTGATCTCCAAGGTGGCTCATGCTATAAAAGCAACAGAAAAACCGTACAGGCTCCTGCAGAAGATAAATATATCAGATTAGCAAGAGACCAAGAGCATCCCTGCACAAGATCAGCCCAAGTAGAGCAGCTACTTTCGCTGGACAAGCCCGTTCTTTACCTGCTGAAAGGTAAGTCCAAAGGACTGCATGAAGGAGTCTCCAGGGGACACTGGGAAAGGGGTAAGGCTAATGTCTGTGTGGACCCTTCCCAGAATCCCCCACTCCAGTTTGGGACTGCAGGCTATGCCAGCTCGCTGGATTAAGCAACCCTTCTCCTTTCCCACGATGCCCTGACCCATTGGAGGCATTGTGGGACGTGAGGATGCTGGCTTGCCACAGCCTCCCAAGGAGCCTTCGGGGCTCCCTGATAGAGAAGGGGGGCCTACCAGGGGGCGGTGGCTTCTGGCATTGGCTGGGGTGCAAGGACCACCTCCTGTGCCAGAAGACATGGGAACTGGTCCTTGCCCTCCTCAGCGGCTTAGGCCCCAGTTATCTTAGGAAGAACCTGCACCCACGTGTGCCCACCTGGCCTTTGAGATCTACACAGGGGGCCCTCCTGTGTGTGCCATCCCTTGGGGGGGTGGCCACTGGGGGCGGACCTTTCCTGCAGCCGCTCCCCATATCTGGAATGCTCTCCCCAAGGAAAGAGCCAGTGTGGTGTCGTGGTGAAGAGCATGGGACTGGGACTCAGGCGATCTGGGTTCGCGTCCCCGCTCAGCCATGGAGCCAACTGGGTGACTTTGGGCCAGTCACAGACTCTCAGCCCAACCTACCTCACTGGGTTGTTGTTGTGGGGATAAGACAGAGGAGGAGAGTGATGTAAGCTGCCTTGAGCCCTTTGTAGGAAAAAGGCAGGATATAAATCGAAAAATAAATAAGTAAATAAAAATAAATTTGCCTGGCACCTTCCTTACATTATTTTCGGCGGCAGGTGAAAACCTTCCTTTAAACAAAAAACATTTTAATAACTAATTGCCAGAGACCTTTGTTTTGTATGTTTTACTGTATTTTACTGTTGTTTTTAATGTATTATGATTTTTATTATGTTTTTATTGTGCTTTTATCTCCTATTGTGAGCTGCCCAGAGGTGCTGTGGCACAATGAGGTGGAATACACATTTTAAATGAACAAATAAATTAATAAATAAGACAGTCCTTGAGTTGAGAGTGCAAGGCAGGTCCCAAAATAGGAACTTTTAGAAAGGCCAACATTCAGTCCTGCAATATCAATTTAAAATATATTTCAAAGTCCACTTTCTTTCTGCGAGGGTGGCATGCAAAGATTTTTTTTTACTGATGCTGCTGTTATGAATAATTCAATAAGTGAAGGAAAAACGGCATCACCCTCTAAACATAAGATCCCCTGTAACTTTTGAAGTGAGCGTCTTTGAGAATTTGCAGAGTCCTTTGCTCTCAAAAGGGGGCTGCCAAGAAGAACTCAGCAATTCCAGAACAGGAGGGCTAATTTATAGACCGACTAGTGTAGAACTGGGGGAATTGTGTGGTTGAAGGTATGTGAACAGGGAGGGGGGTACCCATTGCAAATTTCAGGGAGGGAAAAGGAATTCTAGCTGCACCCCACCCAGAAAAAATAGTTTTGCGTGCACTGAAAGTGCCTGCAGAGCTCTCCATAGGCAGCTTCTGTTTCCTATCGAAGTATTCCTCCTATAACAAGGTCATAGTATCCTGATTCCAGGGAATTATGTGGGGGGGGGGGAATGTCCCGCACCAGGCAGCTGAGAGGGGGCAATGGCTGATGTGTGAGCACCAAGGTCAGTTCTTCCAAAATTTGTTGGAAAAAAGGAAGGAAGGAAGGAAGAAGGAAGGGTCAAGAAAGCTGGCAAACTGTCTCCAAATTACTAGCATTCTAGGTAACAACTAACATCCCCCTACCTCTGCCTAGCAGAATCTCAACCCAAATGCTTTCCTTGAAAGGGAATGAAGTCCTTTTTTTTTAGTATTCCACTTTCCCAAGTGTGTACAAAACCTGGAATGAACCAAAGATATATTGTCTCCCTCATTTGCTTCAATGGATCTGTTGCTTGTACCTGTTTGTTGGAAGCTTTTGTTTAGGAGAGCAGGGCGATGGAGGGAAGATGTATAGCCTGTTAATTTAGTCAGAGTTTTGGCAGGGAAATTAGTAAAGCAAGAGCGTTCACCTGAGATATTCCAGCAGGGGGAGACAGATCCCTGATCTTGCCCACTCGCAATGCTGGCATTTTCTTCTCACCTCGCAGGTACACTTCACTGGTACTTGGGTTTGTTTGCATTATTAGCTTTCTTTATTTTATGGAAAAAATGTTCACAGGTGACCCTCATCTCACAGCTATGGAGAAGATTAGATTAAAAATGCTGCAGGGAGACTTGGGTGATGAGGAATCCACTTACAGGAAAGAGGGAAACAAAGACACTGGGACAGCGGTGTACGTGTGTGAAGTTGGTATATTTGTGTGCAGCTTCTTCCCTTTGGGGCTGTGGAAAGCCAAGTCTGCTTTCATGTGTGCAAATAACTTGAGACGTTTACTGCCGAGAATGGGCCCTGGACAGTTGTTTGAGCTGAGCCAGGAACTATGGGTTATGCCTGTAGTCTAGCGAGGAAAGCATGCCAGAATTGGAGCAGAAACCAGGGAACAAGATCAAAAAGGAAGACAGAAGTCAGGAAAGAAGACTGGTCCAGGATGCAAGAACACACCGGAGCTCAGGAAGAGCTTTTTGCTGAAGAAAAGGAACCACCAGGAAGCCAATGTTCCTTCCTGCCCAGGAGGTCTCCGTGACCACCACAGTGGGCAGAGCCTGCCCTTTAGTGGTTCTTTCAAATCCAACAGCTGGTGATAGTCAGTGAGGCTATAAACGCAGAAGCTTCTCTGGACAGCAGGACAATTCTCATGTACGGCGGCAACCCTGTTCCCGACCAGGCTTCTCCAATGTTTCTCACTGTCCGCATGTGAGCGAGAGTAACATGTGGAATTCTACTCCAGGTCAGATTCATCCTGGGTGGATTAGCCAGGGTATGAGAGGGTACCTCACCATGAAGCGTACTTCAGGGAAGATGTTCCGAGGTTCGGGTGATGAGGATGGAGCCCAACCAAGTAAACACCTGGCCAGCGAGGTAATTCATAGTGTATTGAATGCTATTTTCACCTCACAGCCCAGCCCTCAAATGTGCCACAGGTTCCACATGGTGGAGTGAAACGTTGGATTGGAGCATTGGAGGATGGTGCCGTGTAGGCAGTTGGCATAACGTTCAGCATTCATTTTTCTGTTTTTGTTGCTTTGGTTGGCCTTCACTTTTTTTAAGCAAGACCCTAATCCATAAAACAGCTCGATGAGACTGGGTGGAGAGTGTGCAGCCGTTATCTGGCAACATGTCATAATATAGATCTGCCCTGGAGCTGATGATGGAAAGGAAAGCTGAGAAAGTTCCAAAGTCCTCAGCCAGGAGGGATTTGGTGCACTGGATAGAGACAGGGTAACTGGTGTGAATGGGCTGCCATGGCCTCTGAATTCTTCGCAGGGGCACCCATGGGATACTTCTTCATGGAAAGTGTCACTTTAAGCTCCTCTACACACTGCTGGAGGGCCTGCTGCATCTGTCACCTTCATTTCTTGAGACATTGCTTGCCCAGCCCTACTTTAAAAGCCAAGGCAGTGTTTTGTTTGGCTAAAAGATATATTAGAAGAAGGCAGTTACCCTGCACGGTTAGCCATCCTCGGAAGTTCAACATGAACGTCATTAGCTGCGGTGCATGAAATGGGAAGCTGTGCTCTGTGCGGGCCTGAGCAGCCCTGCCTGATACATCTCTGATGGCAAAGAGGTCCATATTGGGGTGCCACCACAGAAAAGGCCCTTCTCCTTGCTACCTCCCCCTAGCCTCCCCAGATATGGGAACCTGTAAGAGAACCTCCATTGATGGCCTTAAACAATGGGCTGAGAGGCAACCCCAAGATGTATGTTCTAGACCGGGTGTAGGAGGGAACCAGTGGCCCTCCTTCATCTGCCCCAGCCAGAAATCAGGATGATAGGATGATATAAGCTATGAACAGGATGATGGGACTTACAGGCCAGCTGTCACGGGGTTGTGAGGGTCACTCCTGGAATCTGGTCCTCTTATTCTGGTTGGACTTCCTCTTGTGCTCTGCCCTGGCTTAAGAAGCGAGCCAAGAGCAGGTCTGCAAACCTCGAGTGTTCTGAGTGAGGGCAGCACATTCTGCCCTTACTCTGGTTTTCCAGGGGACAAAATGAAAAGCAGTTGGGTGCACAATCAGCTCCACTGCTAAGTTCCCCCCTCTGTTTCAAACTCCTTCATGCCTTTCAAATAGGGACAGGGGGGAATTTTGCTTGCTTTGTAAATATGTGGATTCTTGAAACCAAATATCTGCACTTCCTGAATCAATGTGATGACAGAAACGCAATTATTCTTTGCTGTTTGTGCTTCTCTGAATTTTCCAATTGGGTTAAATGAACCAAAAGAATGCAGAGGAAAATTCATACATTAAAGAAAACTGTGCCTATTAGAGAGTAAAACATATCATAACATATATCATTACATACCATTATCTGATTGGTTTTGACTTTCAGGCTACCTGTGCAAGGGTGGGGAACTGGGTCTGATGGTTGAGCCAGGAGGCTGATGAATCCAGATGGATTTCTCAAGTCTCCTGGGGATTTTCTTGTAAGTGTCTGTTGGCTGTTATTCCAAGGTCTGAGTCACTGCTTGGAATGAGACAACCCAGGTTATCAATATGGTCTAGTCATAGATCCATGCCAGCTCCATGGGGTGCTGAGGAACTAAGGCAGATGCCTGGTAGCAAATATAAACAAACACAGTGAAGGAACTGCTTGTGATCTTATTCCGCGGCAGAAAATTCAGCAAGCGCAGAATGCGACTGCCTGGTCATTAGATCTTACAATGCCTACACAGTGTCTGGTTTAAAGTGCTGGTTTTGCCCTTAAAAGCCTTAAATATTTTGGGACCGAACTCCTTGAAGAGTGGCCTTCACCCTTCCTTTAAAAAAAATATCTTAATAGCTAGTGCCACTTGACCTTTTGCTTTGTATCTTTGTCTGTGTTTTGTTGATATTGTGTTTCAATATGTTGTCATTGGTTTTATCCTGTGATTGTGA